GTGGCGAACTTTCGTACTTCGCAACCTGGACTTTCCTGAATGTGTTCCGCCGTGAGCTCTGAACATATTCTCATGAAAGCTGTCTCTTCATAATTTCATAGAATTACTATTCTTATCATACGTCAGTTTCCTCCTCTTCCACCTGCTCTATCACTCCTACTTCTTCCGTGACATTAAATACTTTCTCTCCTTCTTACTCTCTTTATCTTTTCCCTTCACTCATCCTTCTAGCAAATTAGCTACATGTCCTTTCAATACATGGCGGGTAGGAGGCTGTACTGACGATTCCCACTCCTACCCGCATACATAGTCCGGCCTGTGTTTACAGCTAAGGGATGAAACACAGACTGCATTGAAAAATACCGCCACACTACATCTGAAAGATAAAGACAGTTTGCACCACAAAATAACATCATACACATGGCTTGCGTACAATCCTATTGGTCTGTTATTTCCCTGAAATCATTAATTCATTGCAAGTGGGCCAAGCTTTATTGTCTCTCGGCGCTCTCGTCGAGCCTCTCCGCCGCTGCAGCCAAATTCGCTTTTTACGGAAATTTACCTCTCTTTGGAGACACAAAGACACTCGGGGATAACTCAATTTAAAGCGATAATAGCATCAACTCGATGGCAAGGAAGGCTGTCAATAGCTCCCTCGGTTTAGTCTCATTTTTTTGGGTGAGTAATTTTAAGTTATGGTACTGATAGCAGCAATTTTTTGTGTTGATAATAGTGGAGAGAAGCAATTCTTTGTTTTGATAATAATGCAAAACAAGCACTTGCGGCACCCCGTGCTTTGTTACATTTATAGCGATATTTGTAGGCTCTGTTTGACATATCCGAAAAGTCTGATAGTGCCAAAGGATATGACCGATGAAGAACTGATTCAAGTGAGTAAAGCACGAAACAGTGGACGCTTCCCAACAGCAGTTTGGTGCTGTGCCAAAAATGAATCAGTACTGTTGCGCAGCAGTCAGCCGTGCTGTGGCATATTCAACTATCGTTTTCCGGTTGACGAGAAATTGCTGGAATGTGCTCGAAAAGCAGTCAGCGCCGGCAAGTTTTCTTGATTTCTATGAATCTGCTAAATTTCGTCCTCTGGTTTGTATGGAGATCTGTGGCCACTCTGTTTTACGTATGTCTCGCTCCCGTGCAATGCTGTTTTTTTCGGTTCCATTTCGCGCAAAGGATCGGAGGGACGGCAGAGAAGGAGGTACGGGGGGGGGGCAGGGAAAAGGAAACGGAGGGTAATCGGTTTTATAATGTGCTCACTAGTTTTCCACTGCCTTTTAGACGGTATTCTTGAATGTGTAAAGGAAGTGGTATAAACAGAATAAATCTAATATGGGAGGAGAATGGGGGTGTCTCATCGAGCGAAATTGAATGAAAATTGGATTAGCTGTAGCAGCAAACTGATTTTTATGCGTTTTTTGCATCTATGCAATGCAAAAACGCATATTGTCGAGGGGTTGTCTGTGTGTGTGTGTGTGTGTCTTTGTGTGTGTATGTGTGTGTGTATGTGTGTCTGTGTGTGCGTCTGTAACGAGTTTTCATCTCGAGATCCACAAAAGCAAAGGCTGAAAATTTGGTGACTTAGTCTAGAAATGCTTACAGACTCGTATCTTCAAAATGGACGCTCAGGTCCGCGTGTTTCTCACCTAGGGGCACGTGAAAGTTTCTTTGGCGGGAAAGCGTTTTCGGGAACGGCCCATGCTAGGAGGCTGGAACTTCACATAGTTGTCCCTTGGCCGCGTCTAATCCAAAGATTTCAAATTCAGCCTTCATGCACCCACTGGACTCACGTACGCACACGTCAAAGTTTAAATTGGCATCATGCCAACTCCAAATTTAAGGTGATTAGTAAACCGCAGAGAGCTGTAATTTTGCAGCGTTACTTGGTGCCCACTGTTGTGTCCGTGGAAGTA